CTCTTGTTTTTATTTTTTTCTTCTTTTATTATTATGTGCCACTGTCATGTCTATGTAATTGCCTGTATTTGTGTGATGTCCACTGTAATAAATGTATCTTTCTTTCTTTATCTTTAAATATCCCAAAAATACCCCTGATCAGTGAGTCAGTCAGTCAGTGAGTAGGAATCGAGCTTTATACAGGGTATTTCTTGTAAGGTGTCAAGCCGAAAGCAGGTGATAGGTGAGGACTAGACCTATCGATTTCACCCCCATGTATGTTCTACGATTTTTCATAGTTTAGAAGTTATCGTTAATTTTGTGATTTTTTCAAATTGTATGACCCAGTACGCTTTAAATTTTTTTATCTTTTTTTTGGGTCAACTTTTCTCAGATTTCTTTTTTTTGAGAGATTTCCTATTAATTGCAGATTTTTGAAAAAAATAATCAACTTCCTATCTTTGATGCAAGATACAAAATTTTTGCTAGAAACATAAAAAAATATGCTTTTAGCGTGTTGAATATAAAAAAGTAAGAAAATTTAACTTTACTTTTAAAATCAAAGAGTTAAAGTTCAAGTATTTTGTGGGCATGCAAATAGAGTGTATGAATAACAGTATGTACATTCATCAGGAAAATTATATTAATCAGATTATTGAGAAATTTTGTATGAGTAATGCAAATCCTGCCAGCACTCCAGCAGATGTCAATGTTATTATTTCAAAGAATTTGGATGAAACTGTTGTTGACTTTCCTTATAGAGAGGCTATAGGCTGCTTACTGTTTCTGAGTTCTGTCTCAAGGCCAGATATTTCATTTTCTGTCAATGTATTAAGCAGATATGTAAACAACCCAAGTCCACAACATGTAAATGCTGTTAAACGTGTAATTAGATATTTAATTAAAACTAAAAATTTGTGTATAAAATATAATGGAGAAAGCAAGGGTCTTGTTGGGTTTTCAGATTCAGATTTTGCAAATGATATTGATACACGTAAATCCACTACGGGATATTTGTTTATGATGAATGGAGGACCCATTACATGGTCCAGTCAGAAACAGAAGACCATTGCTCTTTCCACTACAGAGGCTGAGTTTGTAGCTGCCAGTGAGTGTGCTAAAGAGATATTGTGGTTGCAGCAGCTATTGTCAGATTTGGGTGAAAGTTATGACTGTATCACATTAAATGTGGATAATCAGAGTGCAATCAAATTAATTAATAACCCTGTTTACCACAAGCGTACGAAACATAGATGTTAAGTATTACTTTATAAGGGAAAAAGTTGAACTGGGTTTAGTTAAAATTAATTATGTTCCAAGCAATTGTCAATTAGCAGACATTTTGACTAAAGCGCTGCCCACTCAAACTTTTGCATATCTCAGAGATCAGATTTTAGATAGAGTTGAATAATTTTTGTTTGATATTAGTTTGAAGGAGTTAAATTTTAGTGGGAGTGTTGAATATAAAAAAGTAAGAAAATTTAACTTTATGGTTTATGTTTGTTATGGCAACATTGACGGCCATTTTTTTTTTCATTCTAATTCGTCTTCTTGCGTGTGTCATGTATAGGGGAGACTGGGTACGGTTGAAACAATTTTGCTTTTATTGTCTATAATTTTGTTGTTTATAAACCAAGTGACGATAACGATACATGAAATTGAAATTTGAAGTTTTAGCTACGATATGGCTGTATTATTATAGTTCCCGGGTTACTATTTTTAGAAATATGTGAATTTAAAAAAAAAAGAAATTTTGTTTCAACCGTACCCATCCCAGGGGCGGTTGAAACAGCGATTGGGGTCTGTTGAAACACATACAAATAATACAATAAGTACTAATAAAACATGTTTTATTTAGTATTAATACAACAAATATTAAAATTATGGCACATGAGGACATTAATCAGTCTTTAAGATTTTAATATTTGTAAAATATTCATCAGTCTTTGACGAGTAGTAAAATTTTTAAAAAATAACAGAAATATGTTAAACTAAATGACAATTCTAACTTCTAATAAACTTTATTAATTAAATAAAATTAACATTTTAAATCAACTTAATGAAAACCTTCTTTTTTTCAAATCAAATAAGCATTCAAATAAACTAAAATCAAATAAACATTGAGAAATAATTAAAGAAAAAATAAAGATTAATCTGAGTATTCAGAGTCGCAATTGTGGCAAACATAGCTAAGACCACCTTCTGTGCATTCTTCGTGAGCCCATTGTTTACAGGATGTACACTGAATCCACTTTTCTCCGGATCTGCTCTCTGAATATGGTGCTAAGCAGATAAGACAGTAGCATTCTTCCTCTTCTGATTCTTCCGATGACAATTCCTTCTGAGTATATTTTTTTTCTTTTGAAATTATTCTTTTACCTTTTGACATTGTTGTTTTACCTTTTCTTCCGTCTAAACTTTTCTTAATTAGCTTAGCTTTGGTCCGTTTTAATTTTGCTTCATGCTCTTTTCTTATCTCTTCTTTCTCAGGTGTATCAGTATATATAGTTGACTTTCTAGTTTTTCGCCCTTTATTACATTTCCTTGGGGGTGCTTTAGGGAATGGCCTTACTACCTCCGGAGTAAAGGCGCTATGATCAATAGCAGCTTGTGCACTTGTAGACGGTCTTGGTGAAATTTCTTGATAGATAGCGATGCTGCCCCGTGTACGTGGTGTTTGCTGGATTATTGGAACTGGTGATTCATGGAGAGCTTGTTGTTCAACTGTTGTCTGAAGAGACGACTGTAATTCTTTGGTTAAAAGAGAAGGCGATAATGGTGGTGTTTCATCTTCACTTGGATATTCATTAAATATAGGCACAACTGCAGGCTCAATAGTATTTTCTGGATTAGGTCTCTCTGTTCTCTCATTTGTGTTTTCCGGATAAGGTCTATCTGTTACAAATGCAGGAGCATAATCGATCTCAGTAAAGAGATTCCGGTTATATGGGTAAATTCCCGTTTTGCGGAAGCCAGCTTGAATGTTCGAAGATGTCATAGCGAGGGGCATAGCAGATGCTACAATCCCTGGTATATCGTATATTGACATAGTTTTTCCTGGATGGCTTCTCATCCATGCATCACACGTGGAATTTACAGCCTTTTTTAAAGGGCCATATGCGGATCGATCCAGCGGCTGGAGCTTGTGAGAGCAATGAGGAGGAAAGGACAATAAGACGATTCCATTATTCTTGCAATAGTCCAGTGTGTTTATGTGTACGTGCGAGGAATGGTTATCTAGTGTTAGTAACACTTTGTGTGACGGAGAAACCTTAGAATGCTTTTGAAAGTGTTCTAGAAAACGCAGGAATGATTCATCTTGCATCCAACCTGAGGGATTGGCGGTTCCAGTAGACCCTATTGGCCCATCCCTAACAAAATGGTCTTGGTATCGCACTCGCGGAAACACAAAAAATGGTGGGAAAACATTTCCAATGGCGTTTACAGCAAAGGTTACTGTCACTAAAGTACCCCTTTCAGCTGAGGTTAATGATCCAACTTGACGAGAACCACGTCTAGCTATAACTCGATCGGGCTTTTGCACAGTTGTTATGCCAGTTTCATCTATGTTGTAAATATCTTGGGGTTCGAAGTTATAACGGTCCATGACAATGGACAAATTATCATAGAAGACATCTACATTAGTTTTATTGAAGCTCGTCGCCCTTGACAAGCTAGTAGCTTGTGCGGCACGGACAGACAGTTCAGGGTTTCTTTTCATAAACATCCGAAACCATTCCTCACCAGCCATTCTATTGTCTTCCCAAGTTCTAGGTCGTGATAAATTATACTTCATAGTAAGTTCGTAAGCTAATTTTCTCACCTCTTTCGTAGGCAGTCCGAAATATATATCAGCACATCGAATTAAATATTTCGAGAATTCTCGCTCCTGATCTTCATTAAAAACACGATTGTGTGCTTTATACCCCATACCTTCATCTTCATTGCCGGACGCGTCTCGCTTTCGAATGTATCGTAGCAGGGAACAGTGGTTAATACTATACTTTTGCGCCGCTTTTCGTAGTGAATCTCCGGCTTTAACCTCCTCATATGCTGTACTGTAGCTCGACAGGTCAGTTTCCCCTCTGGAAGTCTTCTTTACGCGAACTCTCGGCATCTACAAAAAATAAACATGCATATATGTTCTGTTTCAACCGTACCCACAAAAAATGTTTCAACCGTCCCCAACCCCACTTTTGGTAAAATATACTTCATAGTTTCGGCAGTAATAATAACACATTAAAAATAGTTACTGTCCCTTATTCTACATGCATCATTATATTCACAAACGCACACTCAATACATTCACATAAAAAGAACAGATAGTATAAGCGTTAATTTCTAAAGAAAAATACTTACTTTTGGGGCGTAAAAAACAAAATGGCGGCTTGCACACAACGTCAACGCGCGGGAAGCGGCGCGGCACTAAATTCGTGTTCGGACCTGTCGCCCGCTTCGTTTTCCCCTTGCACCCCTCACTCCCCGCGGAACCGTTTACGAGATATTTGCTCTGTTTCAACCGTCCTGTGTTTCAACCGTACCCAGTCTCCCCTATCGAAGTAAATAAAACAAGTTTTCTGTTATTTCAAGAACTGATTTTCATTGAAGAAGCCTATATTCCAATATAGCGGAACATCCTAAAATTTTCAACTTAAAAGTTAAAAAAAAAAAGTAATTCCATAGGTCCAAAATAATTTTAAAAACTGCGCAGTTTTCTGAACTTTCATAATAACACAAAAAAAAAACACGTACTTAATAGGCCATTATTTTCTGTAATCGCTCCACTAAAGTGATAAGTCGGAGATTCTGTTACATGTTTTTGACTTTCTTAGGACTAACTAATGTTTGCAA